CTGCTTCCATGAAGTCCAAATATTTTTTTACCAGGGGGACAACAAGCAAGTATTTTTTACACATACTTCACTAGAAAACCATAGCAGTCAAAAGCTATGCAATAGCGAAAAAAAGTCACAGAAACATATCACCAGTGTACAACATTGAACGACAAAAATATGTAAAACCATAGAGAGACTTACTGTCAAACTGAAGCTTGTGACAGCACCACTAAAGAGACAAAACTTTAAACCAACGAACTCATGTATCGTTGACGACACCGAGGACTTTCAACGTTTATACCGTAATGAGTGACACGATTCTTATACGGGTATGTTACCTTTAGAAAAACAAACCTAAAACATGATTTTTTAGCATATAAACGTTATACTAGAATAAAAAAAAATAAATTACCCTTTCAATTTTTTTCAAAAAACTTAAAAAATTTTTTTTCAAAAATGATAGGCTGTCTTCTTTTTTTTTTTTGCAAAACTGAGTAGCCTAATTTTATTAATCAACGATTTCTGTATTGAACATTTTTACTAATTATTTGCAAAAACAAAACCTGTTTGAAACTAAAGCATCACGGACGAAGTTATAGATTGCAACATCGCCATCTGATGGAGAACCATCTGTATTTGGTTCTAAGTGAAGTTCCATGTTTAGCTGGCAAATATCCATATCAAGTCTATCAAAAAGTCCACCTTTCAAGAGAGATGGAAACAAATCTATCTGAAAAAATTTAAATTTGGAAAGAAACGGTCAGCACGAATAATCTACTTTACCATTCTTACTTGCCGAAATTATATATTTTCAGTAAAAAATAGTTAGAACAATGTGACTGTGTACCTCTCCTCCTTCAATATCAATAGACATCCAATCGACCACATCGTTTCTACCAACTATGTTGCTTACAAACTCTTCAAGAGCCACATGAGGGATAGTATAAGGTTTATAACCATTGTCTGAATTACAACTTTGTTTTTTGCTTTCTTTAAATCTTTTTTAAGTCTCATAAAGAAAAAGGACTTCAAACTGCTCAACAATTTGGTGAAATAAAAGTACGTCGCATAGACCAACTTGTAAGAAGAAAAGCTTGTTTAACTTCAGTTTTGGCACCAATCGCTGATCCAAAATAGGTGCCGTTAATACCCTCGAATAAAGCTTTATTGGGATTGGGATCCGGATCTGCGCCATAAAACTGACATTTTTTTGGGAATTCTCGCCTCAGTATTGTTTCTGATTCAACTCGTTTTCCGATTCCCATTACAATTATAACGCACCGCTGG